ATACACACATACATATATGTGTATATATATATATATATATATATATATATATATATATATATATATGTATATGTGTATATATATATATATATATATATATATATATATATATACATATATATACATATATATATATATATAATGAATATGTATACATTATGTAAACATTATAATATAATGTATAAATCATGTATAAATAATTATATATACATCCCACAATGGAACAATTATTAAATTAAACGAAACAATACAGTAACGAGGTATCAACATAAGTAATAATCTTAAAATTGTATATACAACCCATCAAATTCATCAAACCCATCAAAGGAAAAATCATCAAATTGAATGAAACAACACGTGAACAACAAAATATATACAATTTATTTATTTACTTATTTTTACAGCAAGATATTACAAATCTTTGCATATATGTATATGTATATATATATATATATATACATACATATATATATATATATATATATATATATATATATATATATATATATATATATATATATATATATATATATATATATATATATATATATATATATATATATATATATATACATTATAATTGTAACTTAGTTACACTTAATAACTAAACTAAATTTTCTTTAATTTAACAATTGTATAGATTATAGTTTATAGATCATAGAGTATAGAATATAGAAAATTGAAAAATATTTTTAAACGATAAATAACTAAACAAAATTAATAATATCATTATTAATATCAACCAAAACAAGTAGACATTTTTAATTAACCGAGTTAGCGCATAATATTGTATGCGCCAAGTTGTTAATATAAATTTTTTAACTTATTTTTAAGGTAATTAGGACGTCTAATGTAGGTCTTAGCGACGTCAATAGGACGTCTAAATATGGAAATCCTAATATCGTCTTTATATTAACGTCACTTTGACGTCCTAACAAAGACGTCTCTACCGGACGTCTTTAGGACGTCCTAATTTGGTCTGAGACGTCGCGACCTAGTTAAGACGTCCGTAAGACATCTGATTGACGTCTGTGCCCGCTGGGATCTTTTAAACAATTTTACTACAAAAGTAACAAAATTAAAAATATTTATTGAAGTATAAATCTGCTCAATAAAATTTACTTAAAATTCTAAATATTAAAAAAAATATAGATATTAAAAAACTATATATCTTTTCAACATTTCCTATAAACACATTTTTTCAATAAGATTTTTTAAACACTTTTTATGACTACACTAACTATAAACAGATTTAATTTATGTGTTTCTTCATGACAGTACAATACTTTACTGATACGGACAATATTCTTGCTCCCAACAAAGTCAAGTCACATTATAGCAAAGTACACTACTTGGCTAGCAAGGTCAAATTTCTTGCTGTAAATTAAGCCAAGTCACAGCAACTTGAAACCATGCAAAAAACACAATAACCACTTACAAACTATAATTAAATAACATTATATCACAAACGTCACAACACTAATATATAAAGATATTTACACACTTACAAATATAAACCCATATAACCTTTACTCATATAAACACATAATAAATAACACACAAATATAAATAAACATATAAATTAATAAAAATATATAAGTTCGAAACTTTACAAATACAACCTTATTTTTGTAATATTTGTTCGATGAGATACCTCGTAATAGATGTTTAAGAACTTGTAAAAACAAACGGTCAAACATTCTGGTTTTTTTATATAAAAACAAACGGATTCTTTTTTAGCTTCCTTAAAATACGGTATTAAAAAATCTTTTGTTATTCAGGCAATTTTTTACATGCATTTTCTATTTATGTGACAAATTTCAACGAAAAATAATTTGGAGCAGATATGTTTCAAGGTGCTTTATTAAATATACTGCTTTTTTTAGGTAGGGTTAGACAAACGTTTTTTGTGGTGTTTCTTTTCAGAAACATATATAAACAAAAGTTATACTTGGAAAGAAGAAAGATTAAACTTGATTTTTATAGAACTTTTATGTATAATTACTAAACTTTTTTATGGTTAGTTTTGCTGAAAACTTTCAAGAAAATTTTTTTGATGTTCTCACATTAATTTGTTGTCGAAGGAATGTCGTGTCCGCTTTTTTTGTTATTCAGGCAATTTTTCACATGCATTTTCTTTGCACATGCCGAATTTCAGCAAAAAATAATTTGGAGCAAATAGTTTAAGAAGTGTAGGACTTTTGGTACCTAAATTCGGTTTTTTTTGTTTTCGTTTTATCGGTAAGAGAAATACGGGGGAGGATAGGGGGGAAGCAGATTGTAAACAAAAAAATTATTATTACATTGTATTATTTTAATTTTTAATATTAGATTAAAATTCAAATAAAAATGGTAAAAGTTATGGAAAAGAAAACTTCAAAAAGTAAGTTAATATGTTTTTCATAATAATAACTTTTTTTAAAAACAAAACAATGATACATGCCATGTAAACAAAGATTAAGGTTTTTTAAACTATATATACCAATGATGGTAATATATACCAATGATGGTATATTAAAAAAGATTAGGATTTAAGATTAAACCGTTTCTTTGGAGTATTTTATTAACTAATAGTATCAGATACCAATGTTGTTAATACACCATATATATAAAAATATACAAACGACATTATTATACTTTAGAGTAAAACATTATTGGCTTAAGCCAATAACGTTTTTGACAAATTGTTTTAATAATAATAATAAGCTCATTTTTGTAAAAATATCAAGATACTCTTACAATAATAAGTTTATTCTTATAAAAATATTTTGTTAGTGTTTTTGTAATATACAGTAATATAATTTTAAAATACAGTAATATAATTTGTTTTTTATTATTTTTTTATACCTTTTTTTTGTTTGTAAATTTGTTGTACGTAAAGCAGAACTGATTAATAATTATTTTTATTAACTGTTGACAATTTCAAGATGTTTTTTTTTTTGATTATAAATTTTTTTTTTTTTTATCTTTAATCCAATATGCACAGACTACAGCTGGTAAGTTATTATAGCATAACTTTTATTAACCATTAAAGAAATACAAATAAATAGATGTATTTCCTACTTATTTAATTATTACTTTTCATGTATGGATTTCCCATTTGCTGCAATTTTTTAATTTTAGTATCTACTTTTTGTGCTACACCTAGTAAGTTAAACAACTCATACTTTTTAGTGTGCAAAATTTACAATATGTTTAACTTTAGTTCCTTAGTCATGTTTTTTTTTTTTTTTTTAAATTATCTTCGCTTTCAACAAGGTTGCAAGCAACCACTAATTAGTGTTGGAAGTTACTGGAAGAGAAAAGATGAAGACTGTAGAGCAAGATAACGATTGACAGACGACTTAAAATATTGCAAATTATATGAATCAGGAAAGCAAGATGAAGGAAGCGAATTCCAAAGAACTGATGTTCGAGGAAAAAAACTAGACGAATAAGAGTTTTTGGAGCACTTAGGAACAGTAACAGAAAAAGGAAGAGACTTATTTGAATGACGAGTAACACGAGAATGAATTTTAGTAGATGGCACAAGAGACGCTAGCTCTTTAGAGCAGTGCCCATTATAGTATTTGTAGAAAAGAGAAAGAGAAGCAACATTACGACTATGTGACAGAGGTTGAAGGTTGGCTGCAAGAGCAGGTCCAACTATGTTTACAATGCGTTTTTGCACCTTGTCTAAAAGAGAAAGGGCATCATTAGAAGATCCGCCCCAGATATGGCAACAGTATTCCATACAAGGCCGGATTTGAAATTTATAGAGATAGAGAATAGAATCCAGAGTAAAAAAGTGACGAGCTCGATAAAGAGAAGCAACTTTAGCAGATGCTAATTTTGCAACGGATTTGATATAAGGTTTCCAAGAAAGATCAGAAGTAAGAGTTAATCCTAGAAGATGATGGGTAGAAGACTCATTGAGTACATTACCGTTCATAAATATACGAAGGTCTAAATTATTGCGATAACGATTGGCCGAAAAAAATTGAGTTTTATCTGAAGTAAAGTTCACCAGCCACTGCGAGCCCCATGCTGTAGCAGAAGTGAGATCCTTTTCGAGCTCAGATGCCCCCTGCAAGCAATCAGAGGGAGTTGGCTTCTTATCGTGACAAGAATAAATGGTAGTATCATCAGCGAACAATGCCACTTTAGATGTGAGAATATCTAGAAGATCGTTAATGTAAATTAAAAAGAGTATAGGGCCAAGGATTGAACCTTGAGGAACCCCTGAGTTTACAGAATAAGAAAAAGAGTGCTGTCCATTAAGGACAACTTTTATACTACGATTGGAAAGAAAGGACTCAATAATCTTAAAGATGTTTCCAGATACACCATAAGAAGAAAGCTTATGGAGGAGACCAGCATGTCAAACTTTATCAAACGCTTTAGAAATGTCAAGAGCAATGGCCTTAACCTCTTCACCTTTATCTAATGCGCGATAAAACCTATCGGTTATTACTGATAGCAAATCAGCCGTGGACGGGAAGATTGAAATCCATACTGATGATCAGAAAGTAGGTTATGAGATTCGAGATGAGAGATTAAGTGTTTGTTAATTAAAGATTCAAAAATCTTTAAAAACCTTGCTTATGATAGGAAGAAGACTAATGGGACGGTAGTTAGATAAGTCAGATTGCTCTCCAGAATTTTTAAAAATAGGGATAACAGATGCTGCTTTCCAGCAAGCTGGAAAACAAGACTCTGATAAGCACTTGTTGAATAGTTTTGAAAGGATAGACGACAGCTCAGGAGAACACTTCTGCAAGACTATAACAGGTATGTTGTCCGGGCCGCAAGCTGTAGAAGAGTCTAAGCGGGAAATCAATTTAGATACAGAAGCTGGAGTGATACGAATGTCGAGCAATGGATCAACCTGTTTGACGGGTATATCAGGTAAAACGCAACTAGTGGCATCAAGAGATGATATTGATGAAAAGTACTTGGCAAACAATTCAGCTTTGTCTTTAGGTGAGGTGACAAAGTCTGAACCGTACAAAAGAGGTGGA